TTGGTTTTCTGCCAAAAAAGGCTTCTTGAACAGATTCAGATGGAAGCCAGTGATGGAGGGAACACGACCAGGGTCCAGTGGAGGAACGGGGGTGAGGAACGCTGCTGCATCTCCTCCATCTCCTCCCCCTCCCTCCACATCACATGGTAATGTACTTAAAGCTAAAGTACAAAAAAAAACAACCAACTTTACTCTGCCCAGAGATGCTGGCTGGCACAGCAGGCAGGACTGAAGCCTGGAACAGTTTCCTTCCTCACTTCCCATTATGCACTGGAGGTATTTCTGTGGTAAAACAAATCCTTTTATTGGACCAAAAACTAACCAGCACCTCTGCCTTTCTACTTCTCCCTGCCTGTGCGTAGTCTGCCCTTAATTATATTTTCCAACTTTGAACGTCCGCAGCGACCATTAGGGTCTCTGTGACGTCAGTGCCGTCCATCAGCCTTTCAACATGCAGACCCTCGAACTCCAGCTGTGTTTGCTGAGATCCTCTGATCAGTGCAGGACAGAGCTGTATGTTGACAGTGAGTGTGTTTTTTTTTCTATACTTGTGTTTAACTTGCTTGCCAACAGCACAACAGCACTTTGGCTACTGGATATGGTAGATGATAAGGATACTGTATTGCTGGCACAGAGGCGTTAAAGCAGCTACGGTGGGAGAGGGAGTGTATCAGAGTTCCACAGAATTCGTTGATTCTTTGTGTCTGAACCAAGAGGACTCGTGTCGTTACTTGCTGATGGAAACACAACATGATATAACAACACCGGCAGCTAGCTTACTTGCTAACATTAAAAGAACATACAGTACATACTATAGCAACAATGCACATGTCAAGGTCTTTCTGCCGTTGAAAACAAACTAAATAATTTGGATCACTTTAATATAAAAGGTGTCCATTAAATACAGGAACCATAGAGACTTGTCTAAGGTATAATTTAATGCCACATTTCTTACATGTCTTTTTACTCTTTCCTTTTGCTCCATGTCTCCGTTCCTGCATCCTCTTTAGTCCAGTCTTTCCCCCTCCTGTGGTCAGCAGTGAGACGAATGGTCTGCCCACACTGACCAACAAAAAAAGCGTAGCCTTCTACCTCTTATTTAGTCAGCCTGTCTGTTATACAGCTCAGAATGCTGCAGAGCCAGGACTGTCTGCTGATGACATCACGTTTGGCTTGGACTCATGACCTTTCTGGCTGTACTGTCCTCCTTATGTCCTGACTCCTGTGGTTGTTTTAGGAACTGTTTCCAGACCTCTTTAATAACCAACAACCTTTGGACATCGGGTCAGACTTTGGAAACGTTTACTGTATTTGGCTTCCTTTGTTGTGTTTTGCTTTCCTTTTAGCTTTGTATGCTAACTTTCTAATGAAGTGGTCCAATCACACTCCCTACAGCCTTTACTGGACTGACATTGAATTTATTATGGCAAAGCGTACATTTTTGGGTGATTTGCATTTGGTTTTTGACTGAGATATTTCAACACTCCCTACAGCCTTTACTGGACTGACATTGAATTTATTATGGCAAAGCGTAAAATTTTGGGTGATTTACATTTGGTTTTAGTCATAGATTACGAACAAGCGTTACTGTAAGGCTGGGCTTCTGGTAATGAGTTCAGCTCTTGTTAAGGTCTTTTGGGCTAACCTTTAGTGTTTTTATTTCTTAAACATTTTTTGTCACTGTTTGAATCTTTTTTTCAACTAGTTTTATTATATTTGTGCAAATGTTCCCATTATTTCAAATGGTTTTACACGCTCGGCCATTTTGACTTATTTTCCAAATGATACGTTAAATGTTTTGGGATGACTCAGATCAGAGCCACACGGAGCTTCAAGCGACGCAGAGGCAGCACTGTTTTCATTTAAACATGTCACGTCTGCATTATTACAACCAGTCCAGAGCCAAAGAGAGCTATTTAGCTGCAAAAGGAATATTTTATCAAGCGTTTTCAAGCACTGAAAACAAGACATTAAAATAATAATAATGATAACAATAAAAGCCCATTTAACGTTCCCGCACAAACCCCGACTTCTGTTTGTTGCACACATTGACACATTGAGAAATTGGACCCAGAGTCTGACTCTATAAAAGCGCTGTTAAACACATCTTAAATGAGCAGAGCTTTCTCTACCAGAGAAAAACAAGAGGGCAGTAATGAAAAGAGCAGGAGAGGAGGAGTAACAAGGGCATAAAAAGGAGCAATAAAATATTTTTAGCTCCATACTCATTCATGTCTCTAATCAGGGCTGAGAGAACCACGGCTTCATGACTAAGAATGGTACTGTTAGTTGTTTGTGACTTTTTTCCGACTTTCTTTTTTCCTCTTTTGGCAACTCCTGCCACTGCAGCCTGGTTCAGATTCAAGTGTGTGTGTGTGTGAGAGAGAGAGTGTGTCTGTGGGTGTGTGTGTGAGTGTCGTTTAACAAAGAGCACCAGTGTGGACGGCAGAGCCACTGAATGTGTGCCTATTATCTCATCGCACACAAACACACAACAAACACACAGGCAGAAATTCCAGAGTCCATGGAGCAGGACATTCATGCCCAACGGACCAATCAGTGAGGGTCTGTCACCGAGGGCAGCAGAGGATGATGGGAGATCTGTGAATCAAAGTGTTCTAAAGGTGGGTTAGGAGAGTCCACCTCCCACACACTCCTGCATGAATCAGCCCAGTGTGGGCTGGGTTCCAATTCCTAGAACTGGTTGCTTTCAGTTTGGTACGTACTTTATAGTTGTACCTCAGAGACACGGTCTGTTACTGTACTCATACTGTAGTAACAGTCACTCCCACTAGCTGTCTAGCACACCAATGACGCCTTACATGTCCTAGGAAAAAATGTTTGATTACTAAAAATACTTTTTATGACCATTGGATATATAGAAATTAGCCAAACAAAAGGCACTTCCTGTTATTTACAGCTACTTCCTGTGAAACAGTCACATTCGCCTGTTGTTTCTATCTTATCTGAAGAGTTTGCTGCAGCAAATGTAAAGCTGGATTTGAATGATTTCTCTGGCTCCGTCTCTCGTTCTGTGGTGTCAGGAGCAACTCTACCCTGGTTCTTAAATATTCTGTTTGAGCAGAAATCTATTTTACTTTTACTCTAGAACAATTTCATTTCAAATTCAATTTGAAGTAAAAATCTGAGGAAGGCAGCGAGGCCATAGCAGAGAGATAAGTAAATATGTCGCCTTCTGTTTTGCATTTCGTGGTTTGTGGTAAACCACGGAGTGGCCTCCACTCCCAGAGGAAGAGGTTGAACCGGGCTGAGTGTTTGATCGTTTTAGTGGTCGCCTGAAGCCGGTTTGAGGTACAGTTGATTGACAGGGACATAATTGTTGTAATGATCTTAAAGAATATCCTCCTTACTGGTCTGTCCAATTCTCGACTTAAACTGACGGAATGGGCTTTAAAAAAAAGATGGTCGTCAGCATCTCAGGAAAAAGATCCTGACGAGAGTCGGAGTAAAGTCACTTTACTATGGTTGATTAAGCAGAGATTTGGAGCTGATTTATAATAGAAACCTGTGATGAAACTGTATCTATAGACAATGTGATTTGTATAGAAATTACATTATCACTGCTTTTTGAATGGTAATAAGTTCCAAGGGGCAAAAACAAATTGGCTTCAACTTATCCTTATGATTTGTTTTTGGCTTTTTACTGCGTGTGGTTGTAACAAAGTTTACCACCGGGGGCAGTCTATTAGTTACAGTTACAATAAAAAACATTTTTGCACATAGTTAAATATCTAAAGAGCTTAAATATTTAACTTCAGACTAACTTCAGGCTAAATATAGCACAGTCCCGTGCTCAACCCTGGAGCTGTACACCACAAACAGTGTTTGTCTGTAATTATCATTGTTTCCAATAATAAATAATTACCAAGACTGTTAGCCCGTGGCTAGGCTAAGCTAATCACCCAGCATGCTTCTTCTTTACTTGTTTGTTTGTTTTCACTGGTGAAATGTTTCCACCCAATCACAGAATCACAGTCACTGTCCTCAGGTGACCACAGCAGCAGCTCCTGAGGACTAACCTCACACTGTTACTACTAGAACTCCAGCTGTATGATGGTTCAACGCCCACTGGAAATGTGGTCCTGGGTGGTTCTGGTTTGAAGCGTTTTGATTCTGAGGGAACTGAGACATCATTATTGTTGTATTTCTTCAACTATATGGGAACTGCAAATAATTAAGGTTTTTTTTTTGTTTTGTTTTTTTGGTTGATTGGAGTTTTGACTGTGTTCCAGTTGGAGGCTCCATGATGAGCCTACCTGATTTCAACTATATGGAAACTGCAAATAATTAAGGTTTTGGAGGCTCCATGATGAGCCTACCTGAAGACGGAGGGGGGCTGCAGAGAAGGGCTGATGTACTGTATGCTGCAGGGCCAGGATAAACAAGCAGAACCTGTGGCCTTATGTAGAACAGCCTCACACACACACACACACACACACACACACACACACAGTTTCTCCAACACACTCACACTTTCAGTGTCACATACTCATTTTTAGCAGCCGGCAGTGTTACGTGGAATTTGATACGACCACCCACACACACTCACATGACACACACACACACACACGTACGTACACACCACACACACAAAAGAACATATGTTGCCGGGAAATGGCAGTGAGTGTGTGGCTAATGGTGTCCATCAAGACGGTCAACATAACAGTGTCCTGTGCAGCAGTGATGAGTGACTCACAGCTTGGGTTTAGAGTGTGTGTGTGTGTGTGTGTGTGTGTGTGTGTGTGTTGCCCAGTGAAGGGCATGCAGACACACGTGTCTGCAGATCGCTGCATAAATCACACTCCAAATCAATTAAAAGGCCTGAATGTGAGACGTCCTACAGCGCTGCAGCTCTGGCACACAGTTCAGAGGCATTTGGACTGGAGACACACCCCGCCCACACACCAACGCACACAAACACAAACACAAACATCCAGACAGACAGACAGACACCCAATCACAGAGTGAAGCTGTGGTTATGATGAAGCTAATTACACATTTAAACTAAGCCAAAAATGGAACGTGACTCAAACATGGGATTTAACTTGATTCCGTCTGTGAAACGTCCCTGTTTGTCTCTTTATTAACACCCTATGACACACACACACTACACCTACTTACTCTACACACAACTGTGGCAGAGTTTTACACACACACACACACACCAGCATCAGGGAGGTGTCCTCACCACAAAGGTGTGTGTGTGTGTCTCAGTTTAGTTCAAACACGTGTTACATAACTTTTTTTTTATGCATAACCTTCCACTGGTGAACAGATTCACAGATCTGTGCCTGCCGGCATTAGAAAACTAAATACATGTGGATCTGTATATATAAAGACACATATTTACATACATATACACTGTATATTTATACATGTATATATTTACGTTTTCACAGTTTTCTGCTGTGCAGACTTAGTTGGTTAGAACGTATAAAACAAAAAAAGCACCCTGTAATAATAATAATAAAACCTATGCAACTGTTATTTTCCAAATGCGTCGTTTCTGAATATTTATTAATCCTAACTTATTTTGTAACGAGCTAGTTTCTCATGGCACATCATTAGTCCCATATGTTCTAGCGATTCAGATTCCTGGTTTTCACCCAGGCGGCCTGGGTTCTACTCCCAGTATGGGAACGCACTTTTCCTTAATTTCCCGAAAGGAACTCCTGAGGGATTAATAAAGTTGTATCTAGCTAGCTAGCTTGGTGTGAATAAAATGTGAGAGGCACAGCTAAGTGCATCTGCGCTCGACAACGCAGCGTAAGGCGAAGTAGTCAAGCACAGATCCACTGAGCTTTGGACACAAAGTGACAAAATAAATAGTTTGATTTATCGTGTGAACCTAACAAAGACCACTGTATACATATATATAACTATATATATGTGTATATATGTGTATATACAGCATATATATATATATATATATATATATAGCATATCACTTCCTTATGCCAGGTCTAAGTAAGCTGTATTTTGGCAATGAGGTAACTAAAGGCCATATGAAGTCTAATAGACACAATGCCAGTAAAAGTTGCTGGACTCCAAAAACAAAGTGCAGAGAAACACGTCTCTCTGAGCCAAATAATGTATTTGGTGATTTTCTGTGAACAAAAGCAAAAAAATACAATGTTCTTTCCAGAGTCTGTGTTAAAACAAAGGCCTGTAATTTGTTTCCAGGACAGTTTTTTATAGTGCCTTTATTGCACTTTTGAAGTTTCAAAACAATTCACGAGAATTTCTTCAGACCTTCAGGAGCAATAACAGTATAAAACACAATAATACAACCTTATAAAGCATTCATTTCAACTAAGAATCTAATTGTTTGTTTGATCTCTTCCTTCAGGATGTTGAAGTAACAGAGACGCTAGAATACAAAAGGCTCTGTTTTCTGGTTGGACTCAGGAATTGAAAGCCTAGCCTGGGGACCAATACGATACCAGAGTCTAAAAAATGTTTCTTTTTTTACAGCACTTAGAATCTGCTACTTTTGGTAGAAAAATAGTAAAAATGTAACATTCGTTGCATTAAAAAGTCAACTTTGGAAAATACCGTACTGCTAACTAGCTTAGCGCTCACTCATTCCTGTGAACATACTGTGTCCGTACTGCTAATTAGCTTAGCGCTCACTCATTCCTGTGAACTGCAACTGAAGAGACCAAAAATGAAACAAATGACTATAAACTACAATTCAAACTCCTGTTAGTTTGTTCGTTTGTTTTTAGCCTCCATGCTAACTACCACTGCAGCTGAAGTTGCTTCATACTCAGTCAGTAGTTTCCTCAGTGATGGACAACTTTTAAACCACTGATTTAAGTGCTGTGTTTAAGCTAGCAGACTTTCCCCCTCTTTTTGAAACTTTAGCTGCGCCCACAGTGTAAAATTGCAGCGTGAATGTTGTCCTACAACATCGCAAAACAAATAGCGACAGGTGAAAACATGTTATGCTAGCTAAGTCGCTCTTAACTCATATAGCAATGACTTGCACAAAAAGACTAGGTATTATATTCCAATACCAGATATTATTGCGCAACCGTAAAATCCCTGTTGGTATTCATTCCTTCGTTTTCCTTTTTGTTTTCTCTGCATTTAAAGAAACAATGACCGAGAGCTGGAACGCATTTTGGCAAAAAGATTGGGAACAATGACGCAGGAGTCACAGGAGGAGGTGGGATATGATGTCACTGCCTCTAATCAAACTGCAGCCTGCTGCTCCTGCTGCTGTCTCCTCACCACACATCTCTTTACTCGGACCCCACAGATGGAAGATGTGGCCACGTCTGGAAACTCAACAACGTTCAAGTCATTAAAGTGTTTCTGCCTGACCATCTCTCTGGTCTTCACCGTGCGAGCAGAGACGTCCTGACAAATGTGTAGTCTCTAATTGGATAATCAGGGCTGTGTTCTCAGATCCCTGCAGAGCTGGAGGACACGCTGAAAGTCTTCAGGAATAACAGCAACAATCTACACCTTAAGACGTTAAGAAGTTGACGTTAAAATGCAGAGGGTTTCGTTTTAGGACCAAATACAACACATTACTGTGGATAGAAAAAAAAAAAAAACAGAAACGGACATTGAGAACAGAAGAAATACTGTTGTGGCCAAATGTGATTAAAATGACCCAAATCTCAATCTAACCATTGATTTGTTGCCTCTGGATTGACCAGAGCAGCTACAATAATAATAGAAAGAACATCAAGAGTCATCTCTATTATTTCTAAGGCTCATAATTCACGACTCAGGCAACTGATCCAACCCCGTTCTGCCTGAACCAAACCGCAGCAACCACAGTCATTAGTTCCATCAATTGATTCCAGTTGGTTACTGCTGACAGGCACTTACTGTTCCGCTACACATCTGTGAGAAACGGGTAACTCCTTTATTAATATGCAACACTTGCTCACACGTACACACACACACGTACACACACAGTGAGTTACACTGACGCAAACCTTGGGAACAACAGGCACCCGTGAAAAAACACACATCTGCGAGGGACCGGGAGAAACCACAACCTCACACGGAAACTGTTCCAGAGCGGATGTGGACTCTGTCAATCACGTCTTTAAAAAAAGATCAACTGCAATTATTTTTCCTTCATATTAAATTTGGCAACACAACAGGCAGGAGAGGAGGTGTGTGTGTGTGTGTGTGTGTGTGTGTGTGTGGATGGAAGAAAGAGAGCACAGTGACAGCGACGTTAGGCGTGATAATGAAATCTGATCTGTGATCTGATATCAGTGGTACTTGTGTGAAACAGACAGTGATGGGAAGAGGCTTCATTTTTTTGTCATTACTTTAGAAACGGGAACAATAGCTGTGACTCAATAAGGACGAGAAGTTGTGAAACACCGAGATGTTCGAGCGAAACCACACCGTTGGTCACACGTGAAGAATGTAAAACGTACGGTCGCTCGCTCTCGTGACTCATGGATACGTTAACGCAAAGAAAAGATGTCTACCCGCCGGCACAAATGGAACAACAACAACGGTGATATTCATACATTATCCAGGATGACTCCAATCATTGTCATCCAATCACTTCATCTTGTTTCTTGCAGCCACAGAGTCATTAGATAGTCAGAGGGGTGGATGAAGAAAAGTCTACGTCATCTCATATTAATGGTGAGCAGTGACAGTCAGGAGTGTTCATTAGTTATCAGTGGCACGGTGTCATGTGCAGCTCAGCAGGTGTGCAGTTCCAGCCAGATGGCATGGGTTCACGTCCATAAGTGTGCAGATGTGTGGCTTGGCAGGACACCCAGCCCCAGGTGCTCCACACATACCAAGTGCCAAATCTGGATAAATGGTTTGATGGAGGTGGGGGCTCATCAGGGAAGGCACGGAGTTATAAATGGTGACAATAATCACTCTGCCCACTACCAGCTGACGACGCTCCTGAACGAACGAGCGACCCGAAAAGTTACTCTTCCTATTGGTATCGTAGCGTCGTCTGCAGTAATCTTACATCGAGACTGAAATCTCACGGTCTCTGGGAAGAATTTAATTGAGGTTTAACATGTGCAATTTGAATAAATATGTATTTATATAAAATAAAATTCAAAATTCATTTAATAAATACGCAAAATAAATCAAAGCCCCTGCAACACTATCAAAACAAATGTGGAGTGGGATTAAAGAGATTGTTTATTTTTAATTACAGACCCAACTAGCAACAAGGTGAATCAAAGATCTTAGGAGTTTAATCAAAGCTCCTAGAGCTGCTAAACTATCAGTAAGAACACCGCTTCAAAAGTGAAAGTTAAAAATGTCTCATTCTCCCTGACAGCATCGTCGTCATGGAGACGACCAGACCGAAGGACCAGAGGAAAACAGCTGCACGGGCTGCCATCTGAGGGCCACAGGTCTGAGGCTCCTTTAACGCTTCAAAAATGAAATTCTTAAAGTGTTAAATCTATCAGATCTTCACACCATGGAACTGAGACTAAGACAAGGCTGTTCTGACAACTCAACTATGGACCACACAAGGATCGTTGTACTCTTCGACTGCAGGAACCAGGAGCGTTTTTGGCTCGATGGGATGTACTGCACTTTTACTGTCAAAGTGTCAAACCGTCCTCAAGAAAACCACTTTGGTTCATCACTAATAGTTTCTGGTACAAAAATTAAAAAAAATCTGGTTTTCATTTGTTGGTAAACCTTCTTAGTTTTGTTTTTTCAAACATTCTTAAGACCCTTTATTTGGAGACGATTTGTTTTTTGACATAACGATGACAGCTTTTCCCTCTGCAAGGTTTTTGGACTAAAATTAAAATAACTACTTTCTGTCCAATTCAACAACACACACACACACACACACACCAACATCCACATTCTCCACAGTCCATGCAGTCAGTTCTTTGTGTTCTTCCAGGAGTCACTGTGTTCAGCCAGGCTCGAGTTACAGCAGACAAAATCCTCACACTCACACAAGCACATACACACTTAAACACACAAGCCAAAGACACACACACACCCTCACACACACCCTCACACTCTTTGAAGCACCCATCATCATCTCAGTCTACTCTCCTGAATTGGTCAAGGAACAAACATAAGGGCATTGATTTGATTTATTTCTGACGTTTCCTCTCTGACTCACCCCCGTCTCTCCCAACTGTCTCTCAGAGAAGACAAAAAAAAAAGATGGACACACAACAAGAGAGACTATCTGTCAAACACTGACACTGACACGGTGTCCTCAAACTCTCAGAAGGAAGTGTCCTTATCAGTGGTGTCCAGAACTTTTTAAAGGACAGAACACAAATGTAAACGTTTAAAGGTCGTCTTGGTGGGATTCACAAGACTTTGATTTAGGGCCATAAAAATGACACTGTATTTAGTGGAACCAAAACAAAAGTCCAAATGAGGAGTGAGCAAAATAATATTTATAATAATACAGTACAATATATGACAATAGGTTGGTTAGTTAGTTGTTAGTTAGTTGTTAGTTAGTATGTAAGCTCTTAAATAGAAATAAGTTAGTTAGTTGATTAGTTAGTTAGTTAGTATGTAACTAAAGCTAAAAACAACAACTCAGGTTTGGCCATCCACTATTAGCTAAAAACAACAACTCAGGTTTGGCCCAAACACGTTAGCCAACGTCAAAGCTAATGTATGAATCAAATAACCATCAGGCAAATCGGACAACAAGGTCAGCCTAAAACTATGGAATAACAACTTAAGAATACCGTTAGCTAAATGTTAGCCTATAACAGTTATATGAACCAAGAATAGCCCGGTTAGATACCAAATAAACACAGAAAAAGCCTTATTGAACATGCTTTTTTCTCTCAATTTGTATCTTTATTGTGTAAATGTTGTATTAATATGTTTTATATTTTTATATTTTACAGTAAAAACAGACAATAGAAACACCTGGGCTGTGACTGGAGTCCGTACCGTTCCACCTCACAGTCGGAGGACAACATGCATTAAAGGCCAGTGTTTCACTGTGTAAATGAAGTCGCTCTTCGTCACGGTGACTAATGGACTGGTCTGTAGCTCACAAACACCTCTGGGACAGAAACACTTTACTGAACTGTACTGAGAGATGAATGATTAAATGAAAACAGAGAGGGTCACGGCACATTGGTTACAGCATCACACGCAATCGCATTAACTACGGATGAAACACGGAAAACACGGTGATTAAAGTCTGGAAATTTATGGAGCTTTGAAATAGATTGGATTTCTGGGCAACAGTGGTCGAACCACTGGTCACCAGGGGTCACCATTACAAGACAACATACTGCTCAGAGTGTGTGTGTGTGTGTGTGTGTGTGTGCATGGACATCTATTCTAGGAGAATTCCAGAGGGGAGACCCTGTGACTGACCCCCACCTCAGAGGATCTGACAGGATATCACTGACTGGACACACACACACACACACACACACACACACACACTGTTTTGTGAGTACTTCGTGTTTCATCCTCGCCCTGAAACTTTTACCTTAACAACAGAAAATAACTAGATGCCTCGTCTTAATTTTTAATCACAACACCTTCGACAAGAACAAAGATTCCTCACAGCAGTGATTTATTTTTTGTAATTGTTTGGACACATCCCAGATGGAAGTAGTTCCAAAGTAATCAAACAGGGGGCAGCAGGGAGCACAACTCCCAACTCCCCCTTGTCCATTTGTGAAAGTAGACACTGACCCTAGGATGTTGTTTTGTTGTTAGTAAATCAGCTGAAGAAATAGTCTGGTTCTCATGGACTGACAAATCTAAAAATGAAGTTAGCCGCAGAAAAAAAAACAACAACAGTGTTTTAACTAGATTGGTGCTTGGCCAATTTGAAATGCCTCTGTGCCTGCGCAGCACACGGTGATGATGAGTTCAAACACTCAAATGGACATTTGTTGAAATGAAAACAATCCTTCAAGCTCCTGCTGCTAGAGTGAGATATATTTACATTGTTTTGTTGCTGACATCTCACCTTCACATCAACCTGTTTGACTCGTGAGGACCTGACCATACAGTACGGCAACAGTTGATGTCCTACAAACCAAATCCTGTCCTCACGATGAATAACTGTCAGTAAACAATCACACACACACAGACTGAGCACAGAGCAGTGACTAATCACCAGCATCATTTCTCTACTGTAACCACAGGTTTATCTGTGACGTTGATGCTGTGTTGATGTGAAACATCACTGTACAGTTCTGTGACAGCCTGGCCAAGTGTGTCCAACATCAGGCTTTGGGAACAGACGCGGTACATGGACAGGCTCACTGTGGCAGCCAATGATGTTTAGTTGTTTTCAGATTTCTGAAAATGTCTGTTTAATTGTGATCATTTCTGCTTCTTTATTGCTGAAAAACTTTAAACTTTAACTTAAATCTTTTCACTGGTATGATGTCTCGCTCTCTCTTTATCATGTGTATTTGGCAGTATTTTCCTTTAAAAAGGAAAAGTGGTTTATTTTACAATATTGTTCATCCACCTATTAGAATTTCTTGTATAAAGTTTGGTTTCCTTTGTATCAACTTTTTTTGTTTTTCTGTTTTTGCTTTAGTAATCCCTGCCACACAACATCAAACTTCTCTCTCTTTTTTTTTAACAATGGGAAGGTCTTTACAATATATTCACATTATATACCAAAATCAGTGAACAAACATAGAAAAGGTGAAATCTATATGTAAAAAAGGGAAGCAGTCAAACTGACTGTGTCACAGTGCAGTGTATTTGTACAGTAATGTCACAGTCAGTCAGTCTGGACACTTCAGAATGACAACAACAAGGTGCAGTGAAGTAAACACACACACACACACATCTAAAATAACTGGACTGGAACTTTTGGTCACACTGTGGACAGAAACAGTGAATTCAACTTCTCGGACTCTGAAGTTGAACTGATGGCATTTCCTTGGCTCCTGAGGATCTGTGCAGGAGTGACATCACGTGAGACAGTTATTTTTTGCAGTGGACAGTTTGTGCCTTCAACTGATCTGTCTCCGTTTCCTAACTTCCTCTGACACAACAGGAGAATCCACACACACACACACACACAGATACAACCCAACAACACAACGCGCACTAACGTGACCGTGTCGGTGCGCGCACACGTACCGACTTGGATCCAAACACACGCCCTGGTTTAAGACTCGTTTTACTGCAGTACAGACACAGTCACCGCGGGGAGACACGGAGATCGGTAAAGTTTGGGAGCAGAGAGACCAGAGGAGAAGAGCTCCTGCTGACTGACAACATCTCTTACCTTTCTTCACCTCCTTCTCCTCCTGCCCAACTCCGTCACGACTCCGCCGGCCTGGGCGCAGACAGCGAAGCCCCCACCCCCCCCAAAAAAAGCCGCTTCTTCACGGCTTTAGCCGGAGAAGAGTGAGGACGTTACCGCTCCACAGTGTGCACTTACTCCGCCTGTGAGTGTGTGTGAGAGTGTGTGAGTGTGTGACAGCTCATGGAGAGAATGAGCAGACAGGCAGCAGGAGGAGAACCGGGGGAACTTAGGGGGAGTTCCCGTTTACCGAAGCAGTGGGGCGGAGGCTGGAGAGGAAACGAGGAGAGGAGGGAAGAAAAGAGGGGAGGACAGGAGAGGGGAGGACAGGGGAGGAGAGGACAGGGGAGGCGGGGACAGGAGGGACACTTAGACCAGTCTTCAGCAGCTTCTCAGTGTAAAGTCAACTGTGATGCCAGATCTCAAATGTTAAAGAATAATGTTTAAAATAAGTCCATTTACGTACGCACTTGTGTACGTTTATGTTCCCACGTGACTCAGAAGGATCTGTTTCAACAACATTAGTCATCAGTGACGGCGCATATAGCTTCTCCGTGTAAAGTCAACTGTGATGCCAGATCTCAAATGTTAAAGAATAATGTTTAAAATAAGTCCATTTACGTACGCACTTGTGTACGTTTATGTTCCCACGTGACTCAGAAGGATCTGTTTCAACAACATTAGTCATCAGTGACGGCGCATATTAAATCATTAGCGGTAAAGTAAGGTAAAGCCACGGTTCAGTGTATACCGTGATAGTGACGTCACGGTTCGGTATATTTTCGGTATGAAAAGAAAAGACAAATTTGAGCCTCTATACAGTGAACATTCAATGATAAGTGTCAATAAACACCGAACAACGGTACCAAGGACCTCAAATTAGCACATTAGCAAGAAGAAAAGTTCTTTACACCCTAGTAGTCGTCAGAGTATTTGTATTTTTGTTTTCAAACCAACAAGGTCCAGTTCATACAGATACACGACAAGTCCAAGAAAAACCCCAGCAGGTAAACACAACAACTGTCGATGCTCCCACCGACTTTCACCATCAGTGTATACACCGGGGATGACCAGCGACTGTTCACAGCATCACTACAGTCGATACAGTCCTACAGCCTGACGTCCTCTGGGTTTGTTTCTCTAGTGGTTTTGGTTTCACCTGTGGTTTAAATGCTGATACCTGGAGGAACTACAGTCCTGGAGGGACTACAGTCCTGGAGGGACTACAGTCCTGGAGGGACTACAGTCCTGGAGGGACTACAGTCCTGGAGGGACTACAGTCCTGGAGGGACTACAGTCCTGGAGGGACTACAGTCCTGGAGGAACTACAGTCCTGGAGGAACTACAGTCCTGGAGGAACTACAGTCCTGGAGGAACTACAGTCCTGGAGGGACTACAGTCCAGGAGCCTCCTCCAATAATTGTTGAATTATACATGATACAACAGCAGCACATATATTTAAACTACTCCACTCATCTACTGCGGAGCAAGACCCCTCTTCTCCAAACCTGTGTTTCTATGGAGACCAGTTATTTGACTACACAGTGGACTGCAGCTCATTACAGGTTTTATTTTTAAAACAGGAAGGTTTTTTGTAAAAACCGGTAGAATTGGTCATTTGGTAACTGAAGCCAGAGAAAATTAGAGTCTAACTGTAGCTATTAACCAAAACGTTCACACAGGCACTAACGACAGTTGAGACTGATTTGTCTGTTTGTTGACAATGTGTCTCAGTCAAAATTCCAAAACTTCAGAAAACATATGCTTAAAATTTCAGAATTTCTGGGACATTGTGCTTGTTGGAAAAGAGCAAAACAACTTACGCAAAGTTAAGTTAATCACAAATAAATGAGCCCCAAACTGCCTTAAACTACGCATTCAACCTTTATCAAAAAGACCCGAAACAGCAAAAAATCCATTCATTACAAATAATAATAAAAAGACTTTCTCCAAAAAGTATCCAAAATAATGTAGACTACATCACAGGCCAATAATACTGAAACCAAAAGAACAAAATATTGCAGAAGTAGCTCAAAGTTAGCCAGCGACTAATTAACGGCCAGCCAACAGGATACAAAATACCCCCCAAAATGGTAACATATATTTCCAAAAAAATAACAGTTAGTTGCAGAAATAGCTCAATGTTGACCAAGAGAACACAGAAACACTTAAACCCTCACCCCAGTGGAGCCGTGACGTCCCAGGAGACCCATTCATGACCACCGCAGTTAAAGGCACATGTCTGAGCCGTGGTCCTCGGGGATCTCTGGTGTCATCCAGAGTTCTGTGAGGCTTCAGATGACACTGTTGCTGCCTGAACACACACACACAGAGAGAGAGAGAGAGAGAGAGAGAGAGAGAGACGTCCAACCCCAGGTTTAGAGAGCGACCCAGGAGCGGAGAAGAAAACAGAGTCCGTCTGTGGCCCCCGTGCTGGAGGTGTGAAGTTACCACAGAGAGCAGTGAGAGTAAGAGCTGTCGATAGTTAATGTGGACAGACTCACACCTAACGACCCCCCTCCCCCACCCCCGCACCACCATCTTTAAATCCTGCTGGAATGCGTCTCCTATAACGACGTTAACGTCACAGGGACCACATTATAAGACACCAAGAGTCTGTTTGTTTGTTTGTCCCAACATCTCCAAACGTCCTGGTCTGACCGTGGAGTAAAAAACTTTTAAGTCACTGAAGGCACCGTCGAGACCAGCACAACATTACCCAAGGATCTCGTTGTTCCGACGCCAGAAAAACCTCCCAGATACGTTTACAGATCAGTCAGTTCACAGTCAGGAGCTCCAACAAGGTTACGTCCTAACTCCTGTATGGAGTTTACATGTTCTCCTCCAGTGTTTTGTTTTTCAGATTCTCCAATTTATTCCAATAAAACCAAAGCAATGAGGATGAGGTATATATATATATACATGAGGTATATATTTCACTTGAAATTGACCATTAGGTCCTGTGATGGATTGGTCAACGTCCAGCCTCACCTCTGACAGTAAACAGATCAATGGATCTTAAACAGTCCATAACGAGGGTACAACTGTTCCACCTTTTCATTTATTTGTCATCCAAGGCCTTGAACATCCCAGAGTAGAGAGTGGAAGAAAACAGAGGAGTGCAGCTCAGGCTGAGGAGCGATGGCTACAGGAATAAAGACGAGGAGAAACCAAGGTGACGACACATCCTGACAAACTGCAACAGCGAGTGACACTCATCACCTCACACCGCAGCGCAGACACACACTAATGTATGTAACGTATCAGAGCTGGGATCTGGGGCTTAAGGACATGGAGGCTACACCTGAGCTGCTGCTGAAAGCCACAGCTGCCAGAAACACAGCATCACATAACAAAGCAAGGACGGCGAGGACACAGACTGGGAGCGCGTGTCGTCACCGTGTCACCGACTGTGCAGGCAGCAGCAGCAACAACGTACTGCAGTGCTGCAGGCCCTTCAACTGAAACACACACGAGGCAGGTGACCAGCAGAGGTGGAAGACAATGTGGATAAACTGAAAGGATACCGTGTACAGTGATTCTACATCACTGTATCGACTCTAACATTGACAATTAACGTGCAAATATTTGTGGTGTTTGTTCATTTTATTTTGCTTTTATCTGTTCCCTAGCGATTACAAATGGAGATCCCTCAGTTCCAATTTGATGAAAGATTTCCTACAAAAAAATCAAAACAAAAACAACTGAATATATCGTTGTGCCCATAGTATCGCAGTATTCCACAATATACCACATATCGTTGCCACTGTATCATGAAACATCACCAGATTCTAGCCAATACACACTCCTAGTTAGCAGCTTGATTTTTCATTAATAACAAAGACACATATTAGAAGATATTAGCGACGTAATTAGCCACAATTTACTATTGAAAAGCTTCACAATGGAATTCACAATATAACAGCAGTATTTATCAAAACACATGCTGTGGATGCTGCTTTCTTTGACATTAAAAAGACGGACCCTCCATGTACTAACAACGGTCCCTGAGCCTCATTTTGGACTTCATGATTGAAATAACAGAAATGATTAATCCCCTTGGTTGAAATTTGTGTTTTTACGAGATAAAGTTTACAGAGTTAATGTTTCACGTGTCTATCACAGGATTGTTGAACATCAACATCATTGTTAGTTTAAGGTCCATCTCTACGCAGAAATGTTTTATAACAGCGTAAAATGATAGTGTGTGTGTGTGTGTGTGTGTGTGTGTGTAGAAGCTGGAGCTGTTCTACAGACGGAGACGTTCTCTCACTGACCTCCAACCACCTCTGCTACACAGTGATCTCAGTGTCTTTACAGGCTCCTCCAAAACAGTGTCATCATAATATATCTCTGCGGTTCTACTGCTACAAATGTGTTCAGAGAAATCAGCTATGACCGCACTAACAACGACGTCATCAACCTCCAGCCGCGGGGCCTTCGTGACACTTGGACTGGTTCTGCGCTGTATGACCTCAGACGGACCAGGCCGTTTGGCCGACTTTGAGTTAGTCTGAATGTGTTTAGGCTGAATTTTAAAAACCTTTTAGATAATTTGATACATGTCTAACATTGAGGTGTTCTTTAGTTTTTCTTGACTTTGGATTAGCCTCGCCAAAGTTGATCTAATCTTAGAAAAAGTATTTCACAGACCACGTGTTGACAAACTTCACTGTCCTTTAATCTTAACCGAGTTTACTCAGATTGCTCGGGGGACACTGTTTCTTTGCCATCTTTTTGGCTAACACTTAGCTCATGTATAGCTATCTCTAGCAAATTCTGGCCTTGGTTTAATTGAATTTTCTATAAGGACGTTTTTTTATTGGACTTATTTACCATATCTTAAACTTTTAGCTATTAACCTGTTGATGTTCTAGCTCATAATTCAACTAAATATTTTTTGGTTTCGCTATATTTTAGCTAATCTGCTGTCTACTTTACTTGTTATCATTTTAGCAAATGTGTCATATTTTTGTTTATATTGTGACCTATATGTGACCTGATTTTAGATGAACTGAGGTTGCCATTAGTTGTAAAGCTCTTTCTGGCAGTTCTGTGTATTTTCTAACTTTGTTGTTTTTAACATGTTACATTCATTCCTTGATTTTATGGACAGAGTGAGAGCAGTTGTCCTTGAGATATTGTTACATGACAGAGTGTAATCTACAGGAGCGTTAGCTTGGATTCCATCTCCGCACAGAAAAGTTTTATTAGAGTGGAACACGATACTGTCTGCACACGCTGGCTTCCTTCTTCTCACACTTGGTCTTCTTGCCAAATTTGAGTGCAGATCCTTA